CCCCCCCCCCCCTTCTGCACACCCTCCGACCGCAGTTTTCTCCCCCGGAGAAGCAGCCCGTCGGCCCTTTCCCCACTCCGGCTTGCCCCATGTCGACCATCATCCCCATCCACGATCCGGAGCCGCGAAACGATGCCGAGCGCGAATGCCTGGAGCTGATCAGTGCGCCCCGACCATCTGGTCACCGTAGACCCTGTGCCTGGCTCGCCCCGCTGCTCCTGCTGACCCTCCTTGCGCGCTGGCCGTCCTGACGGTCCTCCCCCCTTTGCCGCGTGCGCAGACCAGGCCACCGCCCCGACGCTCAAGTCCCCGAGCGCTCGACTCAACCAGGCGGTCATCGAGTGGATCGGCCTGGTGGTCGACCAGAAGCCCAAGCGTGCCTCCTTCGCTGGTGATGTCCTGCTGGTCCGGATCCACGCGCGCCACATCCAGCGGACCGCCCTGGCCCTTCGTGTACGTGACCCCCCCCCCCCCCCCACACCCTCCCCCCCCCCCCCCCCCCCCCCCCCCCCCCCCCCCCCCCCCCCCTCCCCCCCCCCCCCCCCCTCCCCCTCTCCCCGGGGGGGGGGGGAGCACCCTCCAGGGGGGGGCAGCGTCGGATAAAATAATCCCAAGGGCATCGCACCTTTGCCACTTTCTGGCGTGTGCCTGGGGCCCAGACTCGGGTCTGCCCCCCGGCGTGCAGAGGTGGGACCTCCTTCTTGGCAGGCGCCCGATGGGCCCACGGTGTCACAACACAGATGGCCGGCAGCGCGCAGTGTGGTGTTCCGCCTCCTCGGTGGCGAGAGTGCCGGCCGTGCTCCGGGGGCGGGAGGGGGCGATACTCGGACGGGGTTTTCGGGCGCGCGCGCGCGCGCGCCCGCACAAAAAAGCCGTTTTCCCGCCCAAACGGCCTGGCCTCCGGGCCGGCGCCCGCCGCTGCCCAGAGCCAGCCCTCCCTCCAGAGCCCCCACCCCCTGGTCTGGCCCTCGCCCTCGCCATCAATTATTCCTCCCTTTTTCTTTCTCTCTCTCTCTCTCTCTCTCTCTCTGTCGCTGACGCTCGCCCTGCGTCGCTCCTTCTCCCTGGGGCCGAGACGGAACAGTCGGGTGGGGGGGGGGGGGGGGGGGGGGGGTCATGTAACACCCGACCCGGAGAGCCCGCGCGCCGCGCGCATCCGTGCGGTGATGACCCACCTGCAGGGCGAGCCGCCATTCTCGGCTCCGCCTGGGCACCGGGCCGCGAATCTCACTTCGCCGCGGTGTCCCCGCCCCCGACACGCGCGGGGGAGGGTACGCGATGCCGGAGTTCGATCGTTGGGGGAAGCCGCGCGCGGGAAATGGATGTTGTGGCGAGACTAAAGAGATGCCTGTTACCTACATGCGCGGCCCCTGTAATATAGATGCGCTCGCTCGCCCCCCGGGCGTCTTTAGAACCGGTTGGATGATTTATTCTAACCGGCCCACTGGCGGCCGGAGAGGGGGGGGGGGGGGCGGGAGGCCCGGGGGGAGGGCGGAATAGGGGGGGGGGGGTCCCCCCCCCCCCCAGGGGCGGCGCCCCGGGGGGGGCAGGGGGGGGGTTTTTCCCCCCCCCCCCAGGGCCGGGGCCCCAAAGGGGCCCCGCCTCCAAAAAAAAGGGAAAATGCCCCCCCCCCCCCCCCCCCGGTGATTGTGCGTGTTGTGCTGCTTGGCTCCATCGCCGCCGCCGCCGCCTCAGCCGATGGGCGGGAATGGTTACCGACGA